ATATATAAAGGATACTAAAAAATATTTATAAGTAATATTAAACACTTTTTAATTTGATCATCAATATATACTTTTAGACAGGATATGCTCTCTTTCTCATATTCCAAGCATTCATTGACAGATAATAAGAAACACTTTTGTATTTAAATACCCTAGAAAAATAATGAATTCTTGATATGTGAAATTGAGTTTGCCACATACTATTTGAAGTTTTGTTTTTTAACATCAAAGAAAGGGATACCCCAACTCTTACAGATCCTAACAGTGATTACATAGACCTCAGTGTATTGAAACTCGAGTGCATATATCTCCATTAAGATCGCCTAAAAATGAGTTTGCAGTTTCATGCTTTAGAGAAAAGTACATGAAGAAGTGTCACAACACGAAAGAAAAGAAAAACACACGAAGAAAATATACATTTGAAAAAAGAGTCTATACCCAGCAAATAAGTACTGTTTGATACTTAAAAATTACGTGGAATTACTGAATTACATATATATATAGTGTTATGTGGACCCCACTTATGATATAAGGTGTGCATGCATAGGTTTTGAGAAGAAGTGATTCTTCCGAGAGTATGGTAGAAGTTCTGGACTTGCTGGTCCATTAATATTCTTTAATGGAACAATTATTAGACTTTGTGTATGCACACATTTATTGGTAATTACTAGCACCATTTCTAAAGTGAGAAACCTTCATCTGATTTAAACTCTTCTGCATATGACAAGAATATGTTAATAATTCATCAATCAATGTTTTTAAAGTACTAATTTATATTTGCCTTAACGAAATGAAAGTCTCTTGTGTGCATATACAACCAAATATGCAGCAATCATGGTATCCTTTTTTGGGGAATGGTTACAAGTATTGGAGCCTTTAATTCCTCCCCACAAAAACAGATAGAAGAAACTAGTAATTAACTTCATCAGTGTATCCACCGGCCCCAATTAATGATTACTGCAACAGTTCCTTTTCCAATTGTGACACCCTCTACCCCAACATAAATACAATAGATTTAACTAGTATGGCCTTTGATAATAGCTGCATCCCACTAATAAAAACTTGCACTAATATCATGCTCCATAGAACTTTCGATGATGAGAGCCATTGTTTCAAAGTTCTCCTAATCTTCTCCATTTCTCTATGCGTTCCACTCATTTTTACCATCTACCAAGGAAAAGAAAGAAACAAGCGCATTATAACAAGGTGGAAGATACAAATATACTTAACAAAGATGTGTAGGTATATGTGAAGTTATAACACTAGTGAAACTCCAAAATTAAGTGCTAATGAAAACTTATAAAGTAAATGAAATATGGTGACACATGCGACGCATTAGGGCAAAACTATTATGTTAGGAAACTCTCAGTTTCAACTTGCCAATGATTTCTCCCATGTTGCCACTGTAACATGTACTGTATGCCATTTGTGATATCATATTATAATAATAGTAATAATTTAATTTGGGTTTTTGGGACATTTTGTGAGGTAATGGATGGTTGGTGTCGTGTTGTCATGCAACCTAGATAATATCTTCTATATAAGAAAGTGTCAATATTTGAGCAAATTTCTTCAAAGAAAAGTCATGTGTGTGTAAACCATGGTAAATTAAAAAAGATAGAAAACTACAACCTGTATTCAAATATATGGCCAAAAGTGTTGATATCAAGGAATTAAAGTTATTTGGATTTATTTTCTTTTTATTTTTGGCATTTTGTGGGTACTCTCTTCATTCATAGATAACTTCTATTTTAGATCTATGGCGACATGACAACTTCATGTTGAAATAACAAAAATGATATGCTTAATCTCATGAATTTTTTTTAGCCTATTGCAAACAATTGGTGTGGAATTCGTAAACATCATTTCATACTAATTAAATTAACTAGGTTCTTCAGTAGTTATTTGAATGAAATATTAGCTTACTCAGTGTGGGGTTTGAGAATCGTTAAGATTTATTTGGATAAATTTCTTTAAAAATGTTTCTAACAGAAAAATTGAAATAAACTTTTTTATAAGTTAAAATTAATTTTGTATAAGTTATAAAATAAGATCTTGAAGAAATTAATAGGAAAGTTTCTATAAATTAACTTACAGAAAAACTTATTTAACCTTTTCTTATAATTTTTTTTCTCCTAGAAATGATTTTATATATAAAAGTTTTACCCTATTGATCTTTAAATTATTTTAATTCTATTTCTTTTATTGTTGTTGATATCTCTTGTATACCTTTTGAAGATTTTATTAAAGTAACATGTGAAGAAATCTCTCCAATTATTGGCATCACACATTTTGTACTCTGAAATTGAAATTTACCAAATTCCTATAGCACATTTTGGTATCATCTTAAAAAATGATTTTGAACCTATTTCAATCTTAGAAAACTAATTTGTAATGTGAAGATTATTTTATACTTATATATACTCTATTTTAGTCACTAGTTGATGAATGCAAAATCTTCAAACAAAACAAAATTGTAATGAAGTTATTGAAAATTTCACTTTTTAAAAATGTAATTCAACTTATAAAACTAATTTTATAAGATAAAGTGAAGTTATGTTTTAGAATATGTAAGTTATGTTTAATAAAATCAAATAAAAATTAGCATAACGAAGTTAAAACCCTTTGATTTTTGTTTTCTCAAGAAGTTTGTTCTCTCCCTGGGCAGAAAACTCTTTTCTTACTCGATGCATGGGCATTCATGAGAACAGAAGGATATATATTTTTTCTTTTCAGAATCCTATTTACTGACACCCACGTACGTGAGTTTTAACTGGATCGGATAACAAACCCCAAGACTTTTCAGTATAATCTTAATTTGTTTTTCATGAAATTTGTTCTCTCTCTCTCTCCCTTGTCATTTTCAAATTCATTCAACTATTAACTCATTACCAAAACCCTTGATTTCTAAGGGTACCATATAACAACTCTCCTTGTAATTAATTTCCTTTTTTAAAGTTCTTATCTAGCATGTGCGGGATAATTAGATTTATAGTTAGTTTAAGAAGAAAAAAAAAAGGAAGTAAAAACTGCATGTTAATTATGAAATCGATGAAAACGACAATCTGTGAGGAAAAAAAGAAAAGAAAAGAAAAGAAAAAGCAAATCTAGAGAACGTAAAAAACAATACATGCAAAATGTCAAACTTGACATGGAGAGTTTTTCATTTTGCAATTATAAAGATAATTATTTGGTTGATTTTCCTCCATTTTCGTTATGTGCTTGTAAATAAAATAAACTTTGTATATTAATGAACAACATATTACAATACATGAATTGATCATAGGGAGAGATATACCTTTTAACAAATTTCATGAAAAACAAATTAAGATTATACTGAAAAGTCTTGGGGTTTGTTATCCGATCCAGTTAAAACTCACGTACGTGGGTGTCAGTAAATAGGATTCTGAAAAGAAAAAATATATATCCTTCTGTTCTCATGAATGCCCATGCATCGAGTAAGAAAAGAGTTTTCTGCCCAGGGAGAGAACAAACTTCTTGAGAAAACAAAAATCAAAGGGTTTTAACTTCGTTATGCTAATTTTTATTTGATTTTATTAAACATAACTTACATATTCTAAAACATAACTTCACTTTATCTTATAAAATTAGTTTTATAAGTTGAATTACATTTTTAAAAAGTGAAATTTTCAATAACTTCATTACAATTTTGTTTTGTTTGAAGATTTTGCATTCATCAACTAGTGACTAAAATAGAGTATATATAAGTATAAAATAATCTTCACATTACAAATTAGTTTTCTAAGATTGAAATAGGTTCAAAATCATTTTTTAAGATGATACCAAAATGTGCTATAGGAATTTGGTAAATTTCAATTTCAGAGTACAAAATGTGTGATGCCAATAATTGGAGAGATTTCTTCACATGTTACTTTAATAAAATCTTCAAAAGGTATACAAGAGATATCAACAACAATAAAAGAAATAGAATTAAAATAATTTAAAGATCAATAGGGTAAAACTTTTATATATAAAATCATTTCTAGGAGAAAAAAAATTATAAGAAAAGGTTAAATAAGTTTTTCTGTAAGTTAATTTATAGAAACTTTCCTATTAATTTCTTCAAGATCTTATTTTATAACTTATACAAAATTAATTTTAACTTATAAAAAAGTTTATTTCAATTTTTCTGTTAGAAACATTTTTAAAGAAATTTATCCAAATAAATCTTAACGATTCTCAAACCCCACACTGAGTAAGCTAATATTTCATTCAAATAACTACTGAAGAACCTAGTTAATTTAATTAGTATGAAATGATGTTTACGAATTCCACACCAATTGTTTGCAATAGGCTAAAAAAAATTCATGAGATTAAGCATATCATTTTTGTTATTTCAACATGAAGTTGTCATGTCGCCATAGATCTAAAATAGAAGTTATCTATGAATGAAGAGAGTACCCACAAAATGCCAAAAAGAAAAAGAAAATAAATCCAAATAACTTTAATTCCTTGATATCAACACTTTTGGCCATATATTTGAATACAGGTTGTAGTTTTCTATCTTTTTTAATTTACCATGGTTTACACACACATGACTTTTCTTTGAAGAAATTTGCTCAAATATTGACACTTTCTTATATAGAAGATATTATCTAGGTTGCATGACAACACGACACCAACCATCCATTACCTCACAAAATGTCCCAAAAACCCAAATTAAATTATTACTATTATTATAATATGATATCACAAATGGCATACAGTACGGACGAGAATAGGTCCTTGGCGGCTGCCCTCGGGGATGCCAAGCTGCAGAGTGAGGCTGAGCTCCAGGCCACCCGGAGGGAGCTAGACAGGGTCCATAAGTTCTTGTAGATTGCTCTGAGGACTAATGAGACCTATGCTGCCCAGGTGCGAGAGTTGTAGGATCTTGCCAAGTCTTCCCGAGCTCGGGTGTGCTCTTTGGATGATGAAGTAATGACTTTGTGCCATTATCAATAGTATTTCATGGTAAGAATAATGAAGTTCATAATTTTATGGTCTATTTCTCAGACATCTGTGTTTATCCCTTTCAATTTGATTAAAATTATATATCCCAATTTTTCATCCTAGTCCTATTACTACAATTGAAAAAAAAAATGTGATTATTTTTTTTTCTTTTTTAAAATGTTTATTTAATATGTATCATTTTTCATATATAATGTGTAATATGTTTATTTTATTTACTAAAAAAATTTGCCAACGTATTGGTTTGTAATTGAGAAAAAGACAAGGAATGAAAGAAAAAGAGGTGTGAATTTATTTCCTATCTTTGAATGCATCAAAACAGAAATTAAACCACCTCTTCCCAGCTATGCCTATGCGTACTGTAAATGCATATAATTAATAGGCACGACTTCACAAGAGATAAGTTGTTTGTTTTTTAGCATGTTTTGAAATGCATTAATTTTGAAAAATAACTATTCCTTGAATTCTTATACCTTGTTTGATTAAGAGGAAATAAATAAGAAATAAGGGGGGAAAGAAATAGGAGAGTAAAAATAAATGAGAGTGTTTAGTTGAGAAAAAATAAAAGGGTGATAAATTAAAAAGTGATAGATCTTATTTTTTTTATTTTTTTATTTTTCTTTCCTTTATTTATATATATTTTATTTTTCATATATTTTTTATTTATTTCTTTTTTATTAAACAACTCAATTTTTACGTTGTTTTTTTATTTATTTTTACTCACTTATTTCTCTTTATTCTATTTCTTATTTATTTCTTTTTCTCTACCAAACACAAACTTAAAAATTGAAGAAAAAAACATTTTTTTTAAAACAATTCATGTTATAGCAATGGGCACTATTTCTTTTAACTTTAATTTTTTGTATAATTGTAACACGTCCTATAGACTGAACATATATGCATAACTCTTGATGGTTTTCTAACATAAAAGAGTCATGGTACTAATTAATTACAGGATGGCCCTGGCTCAAGGATTGTTCTATTATGGTCTGCGAGACACTTCAGCTACTTACTCTGCAAATTTTCTCAACTTAATTCCTATATTCACCTTCTTTACCTCTATCATTTGCAGGTATACATATTTAAAAATATTGTGCTATGTATAAATAAGAATTGTAATATATAATTGGTTAAATTTATTTTTTTATCTTTTTTATTTTTATGATTCAATTTGTTATTATTATTTTTAAATGATTCAATTTAATCTTTTAATTTTTAAAAAATATTTAATATTTTTTCATCCAAATTAATTTTAACAACGTTAATGAAATTAAACGAAAGGGTAAGCATTAGATGACCAAATTGAATTATTTAAAAATGATGGGATTAAATTGAATATTCAAAAAGTTGAGGGACCAAATTGAATAATAATTTACCTAAAAAAATTATTGAGATAAGTTTAATTTTTCTTTTATCTATTTTATTTTGTTAATTATTATTCAACTTGGTCATTTTATTTTTAAAATATCAAATTTGATTTTACTATTTCTAAAATATTCGATTTGATCCTCTAATTTTGAAAAAAAAAAAATACAATGTTATCCTTGCATCCAATATCATTAACGTTGTCTATGTTAGACAAATGAGTAACATTGAATTTTTTTTTGAAAATTATAAGGTTAAATTGAATATTTTAAAAATAGTGGAATCAAATTGAATCCTCAAAATTAATAGAGGAGCAAAAAGATAATTTAACCTGTATAATATATATAATATTTATAATGTTAAATTGTTTTATATTCATGTGAAATAGTTTCATATTATTATTTAATTACAAATCATTATATATAGGTTTAAATGTGTTTTTAGTCCTTTAAATTTAAGGTAAATTTGTTTATTGTCCCTCAAATTTAAAATTGTTGCTTTTAAATCCTATAAATTTAAAAAATCTTATTTTAGTCTCTTAGATCATCAATAACATATCTAAAAATGATAAATTGAAACAATTACATAATATCAATCAAATTTAATGTGATATTTTTACTAATAAGGATACTATTTCATAGATTTTATGTGTTAATATTTGAAAATTTTTCTAATAAAATTGAACATAAGAACTAATTTTAAAACAAGATTTTTTGAAATTTCAGAAACTAAAAAAACTAATTTTAAATTTGAGAGACTAAAAATAAGTTTACCTTAAATTTAAGAAATTAAAAACATATTTAAGTATTATATATAATATATTTATTGACTTTTAAAATAGATAACTAAAAACTCAAACTACCAATGAAATGTAATTAATTGGCTATATAAAAAAGTTTAATAGTGATGTTTAAATGGTGTAATTAATAATTAATTTTATACAATCATTTAATTAAAATTCATAATTTATATATTTTAAACAATTATAATAAAAGTAACACGTTTATCATTTATGATAAATTATAATCATCAATGATAAATTATAATCAGATGATCGTATAAAATTATTTTACGGTATTGATGTATCACTATTCACTGTTAAATCCATATAAAATTCTCTACACATAACCATTAAACTGTATAAATAAGTCTCCCATATATCCTAGCATTGTCCCGTAACTAAAGCAGCATTAATGCAGAATGGAGAATCTGGTGCTGCAAACAAGGGCTGGTAAAGCTAAGTGTGTAGGGGCAATTTTGTGTGTTGGTGGTGCATTAGTTACTGGTCTTTACAAAGGGAAGCAATTTAGTATTGATCATCATAGTCATCACCTTCAAATTGCAGCACACAGAACCCATATGCTTCGTGGCTCTTTCTTTTTGATTGGTAGCTGCTTCTCATACACTGCTTGGTTTATTGCACAAGTATGTATATCCCATTCTTTATTTCTTTACCTCCATTACTAGAAAAGCGTTATTTTTCTACAAATTTTTCTAAAAAAATATTTGTAGATTTTTTTATACGAATTTTCTTGCAATAATAATTTTACAAAAAAAAAATTACAAATTTATTTGCAAAAAATAATTTATAGAAATTTCTTATAAATTTTTTTATGAAAAATAATTCACAATTTTTTTTTACAAATTTTGCTACAATTTTAATGATCATAGAAATTTTTTTCTACGATAAAAATTTGCAGAAAATATTGTAAGAATTGTATCTTGTTTCTTGCAGATTTTCTTGTAAAAATAAATTCTCAAGTAATGTTTAATAAATGGTAGAAAAATTTCGCAGGTAACTTTTAATTTCTTGCAGATTTTCCTGCCAATTTTAATTCGTAGGAAAAATTATATAAAAATTTATAAGTTTAAGAATTAAAAGATTTATCTCAAGTCCCACATCGATTAGAAATGAAACGATTAAAGAGTATATAAGTTGAGGCAACACTCACTTTACAAGTTAATTTTGTATAGTTAAGTGTTAGACATATAAATACTTTAGATGAATTCATTGTAAGCATTTGAAACTTGAAGAATTATTAATAGAAATTGTACCAAAATTACCTCCGAATAATAATTTCTTTGATTTTTTTTTCTTACAAAAAAATTCGTAGGAAATTTCACAAGAAACTTTCCTGCGAATTTTTTTCGCAAGAAAATTTCTTGTGAATTTTAAAATTCGCAAAAACATATTATCCATGAAAGTATTACCTATAGATAAATTTTCATAGAAAAATTTGTAAGAACAACGTTTTCTGTGAATTTTTCATAAAAATTCGCAAAAAAGATCTCATGTAATAAGAGAAATTCTAGTAGTGTTGTAATATCATTCGAGTATATTGTAATGTTTATATTTACGGTTAGTTATTTTAAACATATTATATTTATATTTTGTTTTTACAAACATAAATTCTGTAATTAAAATTAAATATTTAGTGTAGGTAAACTTTAAATATTTATACTTACAACCGTTATTGTAAGTAAAACTTACAGTATTGCTATGTAATTAACTTACATACCAAATTATTCGTGAATAGATATAAAAATAAATATTTATTTATAACTTTTAGTGATGATTTATAATCTTTGTTTTACAAGTCCATGTTTTTTAGTGATTGTTAACCAAATAGTTAACAAACTAATTATAAAAAAAATTAATAAACAGGTACTCACTCTAAATATATATAATAAACACTTGTTTATGTTTACCATCATAACAATAAGCTGGCTACTCATTTGTTGGGTTATGTGAAAATGCATTGATCGAATGTGATTATGATCTATCTTAAATAGCTATTTTGAATTTAAAAAGGTGATGTTGCTGAAAGTATTTCCATTGAGGTACTGGGGAACAATGCTGACATGCATTGTGGCAGCAATTCAAGCAGCAATAATGGGTGTCTTCATAGATTCAAATAAAGCTTCTTGGAGATTAAACTGGAATCTACAACTCATCACAATATTGTATTCGGTAAGATATTTAAATCCAATTAATAAATCAACACCATTAGGATCCTTATTTTTAAAAAAATTGAAAAATAGTATTTAATAAATCATGATTTGTATAAATATTTGAGTGCTAAGATCGTTCTTATTATTTAACATATTTTTACGATAATTTGATCAAGTACTTGTAAATTCAAGATGAATAATTACTCCCACAATAATTCATGCGATCGAGATATATTGGTCAAAGACAGAAATAAAATTACAAAAAAGAAGTAGATAAATTGAAACAAGGCACAATAAAAATAAATAAAAAAACTCGATTTATCTTCTTTATTTCTAAAACTTTAAATAATGTCTCTTAAATTTTAAATTAATTTGTTGGTTTTTGTTTGATATATCATTTGTATGATTAATTCTATTTAAAATTAAGCTTAATTACAACCAGTGTGTTTTGAATTAATTACATATGGTTTTGGTTCTTAAATTTTTTCCTAGCAAATTAAGAATTTTTATTTTTAAAACTAAGTAAATTTGGTCATACTATCTATTTTCACTTAAAATTATTAAATCAAAAGTCATTAATTATTATATTGTATCCAAATATTTGACTGTATATGGTATATTAGGAAATACAATAATTTTAGTATTAAAGAAGTAAAAAAATATGTCAAAATTTGATGTATTTTTTTAACAAAAGTGGGATTAGGATTTGAAGGGCGTTAAATTTGATTTTTTTTTTCAAGGTTAAATTTGATTTATTTTAGTTAGTGAATTTGACTTAACAATAAATTTTAAAAATTTTACTCAATTTAACTTATGAAAATTTTGAGAAAATTTTTTTTTGTAATTTTAAGTAAAATAAAAATGGCAAAAATATTATTTTTCTTAATTTTTAAAATAAATAAATTTAATTGATAAATTTATAATTAAAACTTAAAAGACCAAAATTTAATGTTGTCAAAACTAAAATATAAATAAACTAAAAAGTAACTATTATTTAAAAAATTCGTATGCTAATTAATCCTTCTCAAATTTAATTATAAAAAATAAATAAAATTGGTGTACAACATTTGGAAACTATCAAATATCAATTGTAATTTAATTTGAGATTAAATTTTGAACGAGTAGCATAAACACTGATGACAAGTGGGAGTTACTTGTGTAGGGAGCACTGAATACTGCTGCTTCATTTTGCTTACTATCTTGGGCAATCATGGCCAAAGGACCTACTTATCCTCCAATTTTCAATCCACTTTGTCTTATTTTTGTGGCCTTATCTGAAGCTATCGTACTTGGACAACCATTAGGAGTTGGAATGTATGAACAATTTTCTTTCTTTGGTACATTATTATATATGCAACTCTACTAGGGTTAAAGCTACAAGCCTACAAAAGAATGATATCTCCTTAAGATAATATAGAAAAATTACTAATACAAAATCTATGTGCAGGTTGGTGGGAATGGTTTTGATCATAACGGGATTGTACTTCTTTCTGTGGGGCAAAAAGAATGACACACAGCACTTGCCTCAACCAATTGTTGCAGCTGTAGAAGGATCAACAGTTATGGCTGATGGGCCTCAATCAACATGTACAGTCATACAAAGTTCTTCACCTATCAACGCTGTGGTTCTTGAAATTGAAAAGACAGAAAAAAACTAACAGCTAATAGGGTCACTTTGTTTTTGTTAAGAATTAAGATGTTGTCTTGCTAGCTCTGTCTTTAGAAAGTAGAAATTATTAAGGAACAATATCGTATCTATTTTCTTGCTGAAGAAACAGTCAAATATAGGGCAGCTGATAAATAAAAAGTAAAGGACTATGTTGTAATAACTTTAAGTAAATTTTTAATTTGATACTAAAATTGATAATTATATCGTAGAATAGAATGTGAACAACTTTAAGAAGGATTTTTTAAACTAAAAGCTAGTATCTCAGGAAACTAGTTCAGAAATCAATGAGTAATATAATTTTTATTATAAATTGTTACGGTATTGAAAATCAAGTTAAATTGCAAATTAATAACACTTTCTGATAATAATAAAAAGTTTGTTATTATTATTTTTTATTTTGATGCTGTCTTATTTTTAGTAAGAGAAAAAAGAAACAAGAGAAAACAAAATGGAAATCCCCTTTCCGTTGATTTTTGTGCTCATCGATTAATTGAAATCTATAAAATTTGAAGCACATGATCTCAATTAGTTATCTCAACTTCTTTTTTGACTTTAATTATTTACTAGAATTTATGTTGTCTCACTTTATAGTGATCCACTTTTCTTAATCATTAGATTTATCTAATTTTATTATAAGAGTTAATCACTTATATATTATCAGTGTAAAAAAATTTTATACTAATAATTAATTATATCTTTTAATAGTATCATGTTATTTACTTATTTAATAAACTAAAAATAAAATAATTTAAAAGATATGATTAGTTGTCGGTGTAAAAAAAATTTATACACTTATGATTAATTTTTATTATAATATGGTACACTTTTGGTATTAATTTTTTTTATCCCATTGCAGTGCCCCACCACCACTTCCTCCTTGTAAATGCTTTCCTTTCCTTTCGCTCCCTTCCAACCCGTGTCACTACTTCTACCCCCTCTTCAATTCTACAACCAATAATGTTTTAAACTACTTACCAATAAATAATAAAGCAATTTTTTGGTCATGGATGCATTATTGTGCTTGAGACTTTTTATGTCGAGTATTTTAGATATTGTGTCAATTTTAAATCCATCACAGATTTTAACAACATAAAATTATTACAATAAAATGGATTTTTAGTGACATTTAATATGATTTTTAGTGCAATAAAAAGTACTACAAAATCTTTTACTAACATTTCACACATTAGTCATTATATGCAGTGTCGCTAAAACATTTACGGATAATTATTTTATATGTTGGTAAAGACCCTCATAATGGTCGGAAAAAGTGTATAACTTTTTGTGTCATTTGTTACTGGTATTTAAAATTGCCGCTAAAAGTTTAAGAAAAATTTTATAATACTCTTTAATTATCTTATTTCTAGTCGATGTAGGACTTGTAAGATGAGTACAAATGCTTTTTAGTTACCTTATTTCTAATTGATGTGGGACTTAGAAGATGAAAGTTATCTTCTAAGTATATATTCTTTAATTTTTTTAATTATCTTATCTCCTAAAGACCAACTTAGAATAGTAAGTTATAGGTCTAACTCAACCTTATAAAACATACTTGTAAGGTGAGAGTTATCATTCACTTATATACTCTTTAATTATTTTATTTATAGTCGATGTGAGACTTAAGTTTTTTTTAACAAATAATTGTCACTAATAGTAAATTTTGATGTGATGTAAATACATTTTTGGTGACCATTATATAATAGTCATTAATATTTTTATTAAATAATAAAATAGAGACAATTAATTTATTATTATTAAATAATTGTCGGTAATACTAAATTTTGTTGTAGTGAATGCTCACACATTCTATTGACCTAAAGTCTCGTTAGAGGCATCCAAATACAATAGACATTGGATCATAGGTCCAAACCTACCAAGGAAAACTTTAAAAATTAGTCAATGATTAAAAAAAATAATCAATTAAAGTAAGTAAATTGATTTATATATGTATTACCTCCCTTCATGAATCCATAATGTTGTCGGTAATAAATGTGAACATGTACTTCACAACATAATAGTCACACTCATGATTACTCGATTGATTTGGACATCACAATATACTTAGAATATATTTTAATTCAATTATAAGAATTAGGTTTACATTTGACTTACTTTTGGAGTAATATATTGAAACTTCTTTTTAGCTATCAAAGGAAACCCTTACAAGATCAAACTTACACTCAAAGATCATAACAATGAACATATATAAAATCGAAAATAATTAAAGAATTAAATTATTATTATTTAATGAAATTGTAAAAAAAATATGTATTCAAATTAGATACTAATTGTGAGTCAATTACATATATAAAAGGTAACTCAATAGTTTTCTTGTATAATGAACACAAAAGAATTGTAAGCAACTTCCTTGAAATTATAACAAAGAATTGTCAATGTGTCTTACATTTTGTAACGATGATAGAAACTTGTAAGTTACTTTAAATTTCAAATAAAATATAATACAAGTATTTATCCATTCAAATAAGGTGCTAAATAGACTTCCTTACCTCCTAACTTAAATTGATCTATCAAATACTCCTTGACCATATATTTCTAACACACTGGATGGCAATAGAGTCAATAAATCTATCATAAAAAAGTATATTGCAATCTGCATCTCAACACAAAAGCAATGAATAGACTTTAAATTTTGAAAATAAATGTGTAATAATTAAATATTAAAATAAAAATCATTGCAATTAATACTTCATACACTCTAATTTTTCAATCGTTAACTTAAATAAAAAATTGAACTCTCTCTTTAAATTAAATTTTTAGTATGAAATTTGTGAATAAAAAATGATTAAAAAAGAATATTTTATTAATAGTGATTAATCAAATTAATTTTTTTATAACAATTAATTATTAATAAAGGCGATAAATACGAATAACATAATTAAAAGAAAAAATTTCAACTTTTAAGATTGAAGTAATTAGATGATGATGATGTGAAAAACATAATCATTCACTTACTTCCCCTTTGTCTAATGAGGAGTACATGTTTATACCAAAACAAATAAAATGGATTAACTAACCCCTTCAATGATGTTTTAATGTACAAGATATAGTAGGAAAGGAATATAAAAAGATAAGACTTGACAGTTAGACATGAAATTTTAGGCATACCCCAAAGTTGGAATTTTAACATCTTGTCTAAACTTTTACCTGTTGAACATGTCCAATTTCTAACTTAGTCATACATCTATATTCTATGTTTTACATTTAACAATAAAAAATACAAGGCACCGCTGAATCCTTAATCTATCGTTAGTTTGCTTCAGAAAACAGACACTGATTCTGTGTTCCTTTTTCCCTAAACTTTCTAACTTTCGGTCTACAGGGTCGGTTCCCACCACTGATCAATGTTCATTACCAGTGGAGAATTTATTCCCTTCACATGATTCTCGTTATTATTTTCTCACTTAGAACAATATAAGAATAAAATCAATGTTTTTGTAAGTTGATATCAAGTAAAGTCAAAACTTGCTACTTTTTGAAAGAGTACAGAAATATTTTAATATAGGTTGTGCGAAGAATAATATTAATTCAATGTGGTTTAAGAGGATAAGTAAAAATATTTGGACCGTTATTTATATTCTTATTACTGTCAAATAAGCTTAGTATTAAATATAGAATGTCATTTAAACTATTATTGAAATAAATGTTTAGTTATTTATGATAAAAATGTTTACTAAATATTATTGGTTATATCTCAGTATTTGATGTGTTTAATTTGACAAGTTTTCATGTTATATACACCTCTTTATATCAATAATACACTTTTAATTACTTTTCTTTCTTAAAATATTTTTACATTTTTTATTTTTTTATTTCTTGACTTTTCAAACCTTGTTTCTCTTGTCTTTAATGCTTATTTTTGCTTTTTTAAGTACTTACTCCTTTTTATATGCACCTCATTCTTGTCTCGTTATCTTGAATATTTAATTTCTTTTTCAAGCACTCATTTCTTTTACATGCATCTTTTCCTTCATTTTTTTATGATTTCAAACACTTAATTTTAAAGATTTTTTTTGCAAGTAAATAATTGGCTCGTGATATATACACCTCCTTCTTTCATCCGTTTTCTTCTTCTTTAGTATATTTTATAGAAATATGTAAATAAAAAATATTAAAAAAAAACACACACACACATACCTTCTTTCGAAAAGTTTTTTTTCTTCAAAACATTAAAATTAATGTTACAAAAGTTGGATATGTGTCAAAGGAATGATGCATAAGAATCTTAAAATATATGTTTTGGAAGAAAAATTACAATTATAAAATTTTAATCTGTTTTAAAATCCTAAAAAATCGAAAAACGAGATGCGTGTCAAAAAAGTAAATAATTGAAAAAAAAATTAAATATTTAATTTTAAAGATTGATTTGGCAAGTAAATATTCGACTCATACATTTCTTCTTTCATCCTTTTTCTTTTTTAGTGTTTCAAAAAGTATTTTCTGAAAGTATGTAAAAAAAAAACACCTAGAAAGTACTTTCTATAATTATGAAAATATTCTTACCAAAATATTTTTCTAAAACACTAAAACTAATGTTACAAAAATTGGATGCACGTGAATTGAAGGATGTGCAAGAATCTTAAATTTTCATATTTTGGATTAAAATTATTATTCTAAATTTTTTATCCATTTTGAAATCTTAAAAAATGGAGGAAGGGTTGAGCGTTTGGAAAAAAAATTGAACATTAGTTCAAATTTAAAAATTGATTTTGCAAATTGACTCATGTACATTCCCTTCCCTTTTCTTCTTTTTCTTCTTTTTAAGCCATGCCCAACATCATCCAAATCGTGTTCGACCTGACCAAGGTGGAGACCTCATAGGACCTCATAATTGGCGTGACAAAATCCACTTTCGGCCTCATATTAGGTAGAGAATCTCTACCTACGTATGGTGTCACCTTAGTGGCACCTGACATTGTCTAGACACGGAGTCTCTACCTTGATCACCCTCAGTGTCACCCAATTAAGGCCCGCGTATTTATCAACATATTAAACTCGTAAAAATAACTAAATTTTTTTTGTTGATAATTTATGTAATTCTATTCTCTATAATATAAGTATAATATAAATCAAAAAAATTATGAAAGTATCTTTGCTTTTGTATAGTCTTTTTATACCATATTTTAAGAGTTGCTGCCCAACATCACAAGTCAAAGACTTTCCATGCTCTCACGTTCAATGCCATTCTAACCTCTCATAGTACTATGTCAACCCGAGACAAGTCTCTTCCCTGATCCCCAGCATCACCAATTTTGTGTTTGGTGTGAACGAGATAGAAACCCTGGTTCAAATTATGCCCGATGTCCATGAAGACGTGTCCAACGTCATATCAGAATTTGCACATAATAGATTGCAAAAATTACCCCCCAAGACTTGGAATACAGAAGATCCAACACATCATTGCATCTGATAGTCCAAAATATCATATAAGACTTGAAATCATCAAGAAACAACACATGCAACATCATGTATGATCAATCACTAAAATTCACCTCAACACTCAAAAACACCAAAAATCATTTTTTCCCTTCACCATTCAATTTGATTTTAGCTACCTACAAACTCACACTTGATAAAAACACCAACACAATTCATCAAATCAAACAACCAATTCGTCATAGCTTCCCTTACCTCAAATCCTAGCCACCAAGTGAAGAAATAAGGGAAAGGAAGAGAAGAACTTTGAAAGCACTACACTTGCACCAAATCTAAGCTTCAACAATTTTGAATCACCACCTCAAGGATCAACGAGTACCTATCACGCCTCTGGGGAATCTAGAAATAAGAGAATAAGTATTAGCGCTCCAAAGCTTCTCACTCTACTTTTTCTCTCTAAGATCTTTGAGAAATTAATTTTATGAAGTTCAATTCTCAGAATAAACCTGTCTTCCCTCAAGGTCAACTTATCCTCTGACCTGATACCCTCACAACTTATACATCTCATCTTAAGTACAATGTTACAAATAAAGTTTTAAGTAAATATTAATTTTATGTTAATAAGTAATATAGTAAAAATTAGATTTATCCTTCTTATTTTTTTATTTTCAAAATTAAATAATTTTTATAACATAAAAAATTAATATTAAAATAAAAGAAGAAAAAATAATTTATATAAAATATTTTTCATATAATATATTTATTTCCTTTTACTCTCAATTTTTACTAATTCAAACCATTGAGGTGAAATTTTTTTTACTGCTTTCTTTTTTATTTCTATTTATCTTAACAATATACATATTTTCTATTTTATTTTTTCATTATTCTTTTTTCTTGTTTTTCTATTTCTTTTCATTTTTCACACCTAATTCCCACAAAACGTTAAAATGTTTTTAGTTATCAGTTCAAATAAATGAATGTAAATCCACCTTCAGCTTGATGAAATTAACAAAGTCTTCTTCATTTCAGATATTGGAATGTTTTAATGTTCATTTATATTACTGCAAACGGGTCACTACATGTTCTTAATCATTCACTATGAGCCTACACAAGTTGATTCTTGAAAAATTCGCAATTTAAACAATTTTTTATTGTTTGGGCAGTGCACTTCTACTCATTTATATTGAATGATATAATAAAAAACAAAAGTTTAAATTCTTTTACTATTTAAAAGTGATTTAAAAAAAACTGCTTTAAACGATCGATAAATAGTCATTCTCTTACATTTTTTAATAATAATAATAATAATAATAATAATACCGCAAATTGATTTAATTACAAATATATCGAATATATATATATATGCTTATTCATTTAAATGCAAATTTATACTTCTATTTTTTATAAGTAAATTTTTTTCTCAAATATAAACAAATTTTAACTATTTTATTTCATTTAAATTTAATGATATTTTTAAAATATTATTATTTTAATAAAAAAATTTAATAAATCTCTTTTAATACGGTTAATAAAGATAATTTAAGAAAAATATTGTGATTTTTTTTATTCTTATAAATGAGAACGGGGGAGTACTGATTAGTGATTTTAGACAAACACACAATCATGTCATGACAAGTTTGGTTAAATGAATAAAAACGTAAAGATGAAAAATTAAAAACAAAAAAAATTAAAGCAAAATTATTATAGTGAAAAAAATGAGCTCAAGAACTTTTATATTCTTTTATTGAACAAGTGAAAAAGTGGATTTGATTTCCAATTTTCACATTCTCTTCCTTATTTTTTTCTTCTTCTTTCACTTATCCTTTCATTAAACATGTGAAAAGTAGCTTTTAAATTTTCATATTCTCTTTTTGTCGCTTCATCAAGGCATATTTCCCAAATATGTGTTTTCATAGGCAATAGAAGTAATGCCCACTTTTATGATCTATATTTTGAAGGAAATTGTGTTTTCGATTGTGAATAAAATACTCTTAGAACAAAAAAAAATTATGATATTTTATATATTTTTGAGTAATTCTCTAATCATAGTAAAAAAAAATAGGAGTGACAGTAGATGTATGGAGGAACAATAGATACTCCCCATGTTTAGTATAGCTTTTACTTCAAAGAAAATAATCATTTTTCAAAACTATCGAATTAACTAACAAAAATAATGTTTAAAAATTAAATTAAACTAAATATGCATTATTTTTATAAAATTTGAATTTTGTTATCTGTGTATGTATATTTTTTAAAATCTTAAGATGATTTTTTTCAAAAAAAAAAATCTGAGAAGAGAGTTATATAATTACATTACATTATTGTAATTTATATTGTCATAGTTTCGATTTTTTTTACCCATCAAAATTATAATGACAACACTAAACCTTGAACTTAAAACTTTGTCCATATTACTTTAACTCCACCACTAAGTGACCTTAGTAATTTAGTTTTGATTCTTTATATATAATAAATATTTAATTAGTATTATTTGAAATATATGAATTTTCTTTGTATATAATAGTCTTATTTGAGGAGAAAAGAAAAGTTTACAATTATTAAAAACTAAATTACATGCATAGTGTTATCTAACTAAGATTTGATTTAGATATACACAAATAAAAAGAACATTACGTATGTCACTTCAAAATAGGCGTCTCATTTTTAATAGCAATCTTTCTAATATTATACATGTATTAATAAATTAAAAAATATATTTAAATTTTCAAAATATCAATTTTAGAGGTATTTTATTTTATTAATAATATATATATATATATGTATATATTAAAATATAAAACATAAGTATTCAAATACATTTAAATACAAATATCTTATAATACTTATTTTTAATAGAAGTTAAGGATATCTTATTATGAGATATAAGATAACTAAATAACAACATTTAAAATTATAGATAAAAATAATTAATAATTCATATTAAAATATTATGATAGACATTTACAATCATTACTATTCAATAATTTATGTTTTACGTTAAATTTCAATAATTCAACTGTTGAATTTAAAGTTCTAAGTCTGTAAATTTTTAAAAAATTTAAAAATTGTTTCATACTTCATTTCATTAATTTGAATTGGCATAAAATATTTTTATGATTATCCGTCAATTTGAGTTAATCATCAAAGATTTTTAAAATTTAAAGACTTAATTTACGCATTAAGAACTTTAAATTTGACTGTTGAATCATTAAAATTTGATGTAAAATATAAATTATTAAATAAAATAAATTTAAGTACACTTATTCTAAAAGTAAATAAATCTCTCCTCTATATATGAAGCATATCTAATAATTATTACCGTCTACCATTATCACTAAGTCATTATCGTTGTCACCACTAAAATTATCGTTGTCACCACTAAAATCACGTCACATCGAGAAAAGAATCAAAATTTAAGATGCTTAATGCAAGAAAAAGGGGCCCACTTTATGTTTATGGCTCGTGTTTGCAGCATCCTATTAAAGTTGGTACATGGTGGGGGTATGAGACTGTGCGAATATTTTCCTTATTATATAGTGTAATATAGGTAGTAGCATTGCTAAATTTGGACATAGACTGAGAATTGAGAAGAGATATCACAGAAGAAGATGGGAAGAATTTCAAGGACTGCAAGTTATGCAATTGCCTCTTCAATACAAGAAAACCAACAACCTTGCATTACCTGCACCACTTTTAACATTCTTGCACCAATATACAAGCGCCTCAACCAAGAGGTTCTTCTTTTATGTTATGAATTTCACATATTTGCTTAAATGGGGTGCTCTAAATTTGGATGCTAATACTTTCCACTGATTTGTGCTTTGGTGTGGTGAAAGCAGGACCAGAGTTGCCGTGAAAGCGACTACAAAGCGTGTTGGTTGGCCAGGAATCAAAGGATATTGAATTGGTTGCTGTATGAGAGATCTTCCATTATCTGTCTTCAGGTTAGCATGTTCAATGAAATAGATTGGAGTGTTCTTTATTAGGCTAAAGGTCAATCGTAGCATGTTTTTATTGATTACCCATATATTGACCCTTTTCACGTAGAAATTATTTCATGGTCCAAGACTATAGTATGTTTATGATGTTGAGTCCTGACCAATCTCTACATAACATATAATTGATATATTAAAGTTAATAAGACACATGAGTTATATCTTACGTGGAGATTGGTTTGGATTTCTTCTTCTAAAGCGAAGGAACACACTTTAAGGAAAGAAATTAACAACTGATTATTGTGATAAAATATATGCACTTACATAACGGACTATGAAGTTGCTTATGGTTTCAAACTTTCCGAGAGAACTTTTTCTTGGTTCGTTTGTCATGAAATCTATTTAAATGTTTTTGTGGGGTGATGGTGCTGATAATATGTTGGATTTGTGTAGGAATTTTGGATTGGAAATGAAGAGCTTGTTAATTTGTATGACAAGAGACTTGGTGATGCTGGCTATGTTAATTTCAAGCTTGAACGGACCAACAATCGTGGTGATGGTAAACAAACATTCTCTCCCTCAAATGGAAAATACCCTGTTGGTGTTGGATATTCTTGTTCTGTTTTAAGAACTCTTCTGTACTTTTATTTTCCATATGCATGGTTCTGTTAGCAACACGTGTTAATGTTCATATGGCTTTCGAATATCAGGTCTTCTGATAGCAGTGCAAAAGGAATATTTCACAGTTGTAAACTATAAGGAGTTGCACTTCAACGATTGTGGTGATAGAGTAGCTCAATTGTTGCATGTTGAGTTAGCTTTTCCATTTTCACACCAAAACAGTGATATTACGCAGGAGATTCTCATTGTCAACACTCACCTACTGTTTCCTCATGATACGAGTCTTAGCCTTGTACGCTTGCATCAAGTATGTAAGCATTTTGTTTTGGAATCTAAGCACCATTATTTTGTTACGCTTGGTATCTCACTTGGACGTACATTGAATTTTGCTTAGGTCTACAAGATTCTTCAATATGTGGAATCTTATCAGAAAGAGAAGCAACTTAAGCCTTTACCAATTATGCTATGCGGGTAAACATCAAATAGCATTAATATTTTATAAATTTAATTAGAAAAACAACCAATCATAGACCATCATATAATTGAAAATTATTGTCTTTCTGTAATAGTTACTTTAAAATTCATGTTTAGGATGATTTCTAGTTGATTGACATGTTATACTTTTCAGTGATTGGAATGGAAGCAAAAGGGGACATGTTTACAAGTTCCTGAGGTCACAGGGGTTTGTATCATCATATGATGCTGCGCATCATTACACTGATGCTGATGCACACAAGGTAGTACAACTAACATTGTTTTCAGAATTTTTCATTTGGATAATATTCACATCACCCATATTTGTTTTACACTGTGTCTTGCAGTGGGTTAGCCACCGCAATCATCGGGGAAATATATGTGCTGTTGATTTTATATGGCTTCTTAATCCTGACAAATATCAAAAACTACTTAAAACAAGTTGGAGTGAAGCAGTGTTTGGCATGTTCAAGGTAAATCTTTACACTTTAGCCATCTTTGCAAAACTTTCTAACATGTATATCTTTAGAACGCATGTTTCAGTATCAATGTAATTGCGGAAGAGAATTTTGTCTCTGATAGTAAACTTCACCTTTATCAGTATCTATTGAGAAAAACATCACAGACAGAGAGAGATGCATTTGCTTTTCTAAAGGTTGACAAAGAAGATTGTATTACCTATTCTGGATTCTGTGAAGCACTTAGACAAGTATGTAGTGTTATCCATACTATTACATGAGTAGATGAGCACTTCAAAGTTTCAGATAGTGCTTGTGATTATCTGAGAAGTCCTAGTGATAATAAAGGTTTTTGGTTTTTCCATTTGTGCAGCTCAATTTAATTGGTCATTGCCATGGGTTAAGTGTTGAAAAGACAAAGGACTTGTGGGTTCAGGCAGATATAAATGGAAATGGTGCCATTGATTATAAAGAATTTCTGGTAAAACAGTTCAGATTAACTTAAATTTCATTCAAGAAACCTCTGAAGTGTTGGATAATTTTTAGTAAAAAGTTACAATCAATGACTAGAAATTTAGGAAAAGTTGAAAGTGTAACCTGGAAATGAAAAGGTGATTTAGATTCGGATTGTATAAACTTCTCTATAAACACTTGTAAGACAAGAAAATAAGAAAGTAAAGAATTAAACTTTTCTTATAAGTTAAAATTAACTTGTGCACTTTAATTTTCATAAAATTGTTATATATAAGTTGATTTTAATTTATAGGAGAAACTCAAATCATTTTACTTTTTTTTATTTGTTTTCTTCAACAAGTGTTTATGAAGAAACTTATCTAAATAGTATCTTAATATTGAAGTAAAAATTTGTCATGTCTTATATAATTGTGCTTGGACTTATTAGAGCATTTGGCTCTTCATCTTGAACTTTGTTGGCTAAATCACGGATCATAATATTATGCTTGTTGCAGCAGCAAATTTGGAATCTAGAAGAATCAGATCAAAGAGATGACATGAAGAACATGCAACATGATGAGGGGCGAAATGATAGTGAGGAAGAGCAAACAATTGGGTTTAGTGTGAAAAATGCAGTTCTTTTCCCTCAGGAGGTGGAAAAAGGTAGATGGCCTGAAGACTACTCCCTATCTGATCATGCAAGACTCATTGTGATGTTCTCACCTATAAGAATTGTTAGACTTTGAGAATTTTCTTGATGTTTTGAATACAAAATCTGTTGTACTGTGCTTGTTTTGACAACAATCTGTTTTAGGTGAAAAGTAGGTGATTTGGAGTATTTTTTGGTAAATACACAGTAGGTAAAAGTGGGTAGTACAACTAAGTCAACAATGTATGCATTTTTTGAATACTAAGCTTGTAACATCAGAAGTTGTTGTATTGTATCTTGTATATATAAAGAAAAACGTGAATGAAAAACTGATTGCCCACTAAGAACTTGTCTTGCTCTATTTTGCTCTCCACTCTTCCTATCATTCTGTTTTCATTTTTTATCATGGTATCACTAGTGCAAAAATTGGATTTAAAATCGGACTTTTAAGATCGATTATAAGGTAACCGATCTTAAAAGTACTTTTAAGATCGGTTATTCTATGACCGATCTTAAAAGTATGTCTGACACAACTTTTAAGATCGGTTCTGAAAGAACCGATCTTAAAAATGACACTTTTAAGATCGGTCATAGAATAACCGATCTTAAAAGTACTTTTAAGATCGGTTATTTTATGACCGATTTTAAAAGTGCTACTTTTAAAATCGGTTCTTAAAGAACCGATTTTGTATGTAGTATATAAAATCAGTTCTTAAATAACCGATTTTAAAAGTATCGTCAGAAATCTTTTATATTCCCCTCCATTCTTATTCTCTTTAATCTTTCCCTCCATTACTTTTTTTAATCTCTGATGCTCTCATTTTCTAAAGTCTCCAAGGTAAATTTCGTTGTAGTTTTCATTTTAATTTTCATCTTCTCATGTTCTTATTGTTTCTCATTTCGTTTTTTCACTCTTTTCGTCTCTATTTTCGCTGTAAGTGCAGGCTGGGTAAATTTCGAACCTGGAATGGCCCGTTCTGCAAGGAGAACAAGTCGTTCTCCTTGCAGAAATGGCCATTCTTCTTGCAGAAATGGCCGTTCTCCTTGCAGAACGGGCCGTTCTGCAAAGAGAATGGGTCGTTCTCCCACATGGAACGGCCCGTTCCAGTTTAATTTTTTTTCCGCCCAGACTTTTAAGATCAGTTATAAAATAACCGATCTTAAAAGTTAACTTTTAAAATCGGTTGTTTAACCAATTTTAAAAGTCTAATTTTTAAAATCAGCTCTTTCAAAATCGGTTACGGAACCGATTTTAAAAGTGAAAAATAACCGATTTTAAAAGTCTTTTTTTCACTAGTGTATCAAGAGCTTCATTGGTCTTTTAGGGTCTGTGAGGGAGAAAGAAAAAAAAAATCTGAAAAACAGAGTTTCTGTGTGTGAGAGAAAACCAGCAAGAAACCCACTCAAAAAACCTTCAACTAATGGCTTCTGGTAGCAATTCTTTGCCTCCACCTCCAGTATTTGCTGGAGAAAATTATGATTTGTGGGCTGCAAAGATGAGAACTTATCTTAGAGCTTAAAGTTTGTGGGAAGTGGTGGAAAATGGAAGCAACCCAGCTCCTTTACTAGACAACCCAACAATGGCTCAGTTAAGATTTCACAGTGATGAAGTGGCTAAAGATGGCAGAGCACTTGCCATCATACAAGCAGTTGTTCATGACGATGTTTTTATCATGATTTTGATTCTTGATATAGCAAAAGAGGCTTGGGACAAACTTAAGGAGGAGTTCCAAGGTAGTGAAAGAACAAGGAGAATGAAGGTGCTAAATTTGAGAAGAGAATTTGAAGCCATCAAAATGAAGGAAGTTGAAACAATGAAGGAGTTTGCTGACAGGCTTTCTAAAGTGGTTACACAAATCAGATTATTGGGTGAAGAACTCAGTGATCAACAAGTTATGGAGAAAATATTGGTATGTCTTCCGGAGAGGTTTGAGTCAAAAATCTCCTCTCTTGAAGTAAATAAGGATTTTTCTCATATATCAATTTCAGAACTTGTAAATGCTTTACAAGCTTAACAGAGAAGATCCTTTAGGATGGAAGAAAATGTTGAAGGTGCTTTTGTGGTAAATACCAAAGGCAAATTTCAAGGCACCAGTAGTTGTGGGAAAAAGCCATTTAGTGGGAAGAAAGGGAAAAAAAACAAGAAGAAAGCAACAGAGGAGGAGGTTGGAAAGATAAGTATCCACCTTGCTCTTACTGTAAGAAGAAGAATCATACAGAAAATTTCTGTTGGTTTAGACCATGAGTCAAATGTAGGGCATGCAACCAACTTGGTCATGTGGAGAAAGTGTGCAAAAGCAAAGCAAAACAACAGGGACAGCAAGCCCAAGTTGTTGAGCATGAAGAACAAAATAAGGAGCATTTATTTGTTGCTTCTTGTTATTTAGCAAACAGGAGCAAGGAGGTGTGGCTTATAGACAGTGGTTGCACAAACCACATGACAAATGATGCAAGCATTTTCAAGGAATTGGATCAGTCTCACTTCTTAAAAGTCACTGTTGGCAATGGAGAAAGTGTTGAAGTTAAAGGCAAAGGAGTAATTGCGGTAGAAACTTCTTCAGGTACTAAATATATTTCAGATGTTTTATACGTGCCTGAGATAAATCAAAATCTTCTAAGTGTGGGACAAATGCTTGAAAAGAATTATACTTTGCATTTTGAAGACATGAAATGCACCATATTTGATCCTTCTGGGTGTGAGCTAATGTCTATGGGTGTGAGCTAATGTTTATCAAAATGAGAGATAAGAGTTTTCCAATAGAATGGAAGCAACCTGCTATGCATGCTTTTCCAAGTTTAGTGGATGATTCTGTTTTATGGCACAAAAGACTTGGTCATTTTAGTTACTCCACCTTGAAGCAAATCAGCTCAAATGGCTTAATTCAAAACTTACCTTCCATAGAAGATAATGTTGATGTTTGTGATGTATGTCAATTTGGAAAACCATGTAGATTGCCATTCCTACAGTAGCAAGCTGGAGAGTTGTGAAAAAATTACAGTTTATCCATACTGATGTGTGTGGTCCAATGAGCATAACATCTTTAAATGACAGCAAATATTTTTTGCTATTTATAGATGATTTTACAAGAATGAGTTGGGTGTTTTTTCTAAAACAAAAATCAGATGTGTTTGTTGCATTTCAAAAGTTTAAGATTTTGGTTGAAAATGAAGCTGGTTGTCAAATTAAAAAACTCAGATCTAACAATGGAACTGAGTATACAGCAGGGGAATTTAAAAAGTTTTGTGATCAAGCTGGAATACAACATCAGTTCATCGTTCCTTACACTCCTCAACAAAGTAGAGTGAGTGAAAGAAAGAACAGAACAATGATGGAGATGGCTCAGTGTTTGCTCTTTGAGAAAGGTCTTCCAAAGACTTTTTGGGCTGAGGCAGTAAATACCTCAGTTTACTTGCTGAATTTATTGCCTACTAAAGCTTTGAAGGGTAAAACACCCTATGAAGCATGGTGTGGAAGGAAGCCTTCAGTGGAGCATTTAAAAATATTTGGTTGTGTGTGTTACACTCATGTTCCAAATGTGAAAAGAGATAAAATTGATCATAAGTGTGAAGTTGGTATTTTTTTGGGGTACAGTATTAACTCCAAAGGATATCGAGTATACAACTTGGAGACAAAAAAAATTATTGTTAGCAGAGATATAAAATTTGATGAGTTTTCAAAATGGAATTGGAAGAAACATCAAGCAGAAGGCTCAAGTAAAAGGTTATTTGATGAAGACACTTTGCAAGAGCAAAATTCTAAAGATGATGAAGAGAACTATGATAGTGACACTGAATTTCCAGTGAGAGGTACAAGAACCTTGGAGGATATTTATGCAAGATGTAATTTTGCTGCATTAGAGCCTACAAGGTATGAAGAAGTTGCTGAGTTTGAAAACTGGAGAGCTACCATGAAGGAAGAGATAAAGATGATTGAGAAAAATAAAACTTGGCAACTTGTTGATAGGCCAAGTAATAAAAAAGTGATTGGTGTTAAGTGGGTTTACAGAACTAAACTCAATCCTGATGGTTCTGTAAACAAACTTAAGGCTAGATTGGTGGTAAAAGGTTACTTCCAACAGTATGGAGTTGATTTTTCTGATACGTTTGCACCTGTTGCAAGACATGATACAATCAGATTACTGATCTCTTTGGCAACAAAACTTGGCTGGAAAATTTATCATTTTGATGTAAAATCAGCTTTTCTAAATGGATTGCTTGATGAAGATATATATGTTGATCAACTTGAAGGTTTTCAGGTTCAGGAAGTGAAGATAAAGTTTATAAGCTTCATAAAGCTCTTTATGGCTTAAAACAGACACCAAGAGCCTGGTATAGCACAATTGATGGTTATCTTCTGCAAAAAATTCAAAAGAAGTGAAAATGAAGCCACCTTGTATGTGAGGAAGTCAAACAATGAAGTGCAACTCATTGTGTCTTTGTATGTTGATGATTTATTGGTTATAGGAAATGAATCAAATTCCTTAAACCAATTTAAGAAGGACATGGAGAAAGAATTTGAAATGACTAACTTGGGTGAAATGAAATACTTTCTTGGAATGGAGATTTCTCAGCAAAATGATGGAATATTCATTTCACAAAGAAAATATGCTTTGGAGATATTGAAGAAGTTTCACATAGAGAAATGCAAGCCTGTTGCTACTCCATTGGTTGCAAATGAAAAATTTTCAAAGAATGATGGTGAAAATAGTGCAGATGCTTCTGTTTATAGAAGTATAATTGGAAGTTTGTTGTATCTTTCAGCAACCAGACCAGATTTAATGTTTGCTGCAAGTTTGCTTTCCAGATTCATGCATTCTCCAAGTCAAGTTCACCTTGGTGCAGCAAAAAGAGTTTTGAGATATATAAGAAGTACAACTAATTATGGTTTGTATTTCTTAAAAAATGAAAGTGGAGAACTTCAAGGATATGCAGATAGTGATTGGGCAGGAAGTATTGATGATTCTAAAAGCACCTCTGGATATGTGTTTTCATTTGGCAGTGCTATTTTTTCTTGGAATTCAAAGAAACAAGATGTTGTGGCTCAATCTTCAGCTGAAGCTGAGTATATTTCAGCTGCAGCTGCTGCAAATCAGGCTACTTGGCTGAGAAAGATTTTATTAGATGTGGGACAGATTCAAGATGAAGCTACTATCATTTGGGTGGATAACAAATCTGCTATTTCTATTGCTAAAAATCTTGTCCAACATGGAAGAACAAAACACATTAATGTGAAGTTTCATGCCATTGGAGAAGTAGAGAAATCAAAAGAAATCAGGTTGGAGCATTGCAGCTCTGAGGAACAGATTGCAGATATCATGACCAAAGCCCTTTCCAATGGTCAATTTGAAATACTAAGATCAAGACTTGGAGTGCTCAAGAAAAATCTCAAGGAGGAGTGTTAGACTTTGAGAATTTTCTTGATTTTTTGAATACAAAATCTGTTGTACTGTGCTTGTTTTGACAACAATCTGTTTTAGGTGAAAAGTAGGTGATTTGGAGTATGTTTTTGGTAAATATGCAGTAGGTAAAAGTGGGTAGTACAACTAAGTCAACAATGTATGCATTTTTTGAATACTAAGCTTGTAACATCAGAAGTTGTTGTATTGTATCTTGTATATATAAAGAAAAACGTGAATGAAAAACTGATTGCCCACTAAGAACTTGTCTTGCTCTGTTTTGCTCTCCACTCTTCCTATCATTCTGTTTTCATTTTTCATCAAGAATGTTATGCCTTGCTCCCAAATGATTTCTTTACGATGCTTGGGAGAACTCTAGCTTAGAACATATATAGTATTAAGGCTTCATTGCATAAATAACAGTAAGGAATAAGTGAAATGATGGAACTGGCAAGGGAACATAATGGCAATTACTGCACCATCATTGGCCAGAACCAGAAGTGATTTCACATTCATGACAAGGCATGACACAAGCAAACTCAAGGTGCAATTTGAAGCTATATCTCTCTTAACATTCTTATACACACCATACGCTACTGATCACCTTTTAAGTAGCAACTGTCATCACTCACTTTGTTTTACCTAAACTGATTGAAAGAAAAGATGTAAGGATGGAAAGAAGAATCATACTGATATGTTTAGTTGTTGCATAAGGGTCTTAAGCATCAGCCATTTGGTAGCATGGGGAGATGCACCATGTAGAGCTTCTTGAAATATATAAGATTGTGGAGATACAAACAAGGTCCTACATCGATAAAATAAGAGAAAAAATAACAGTTTATAAAATACACGCATACTCTAATGATTAAGATGCATTTTAGGTAATAACCAAAAAGCAAAATCGTTTCTATGTGAAATAACAAAGTTATACCAACAAAGATTTCATACACAATGTATCTTGTCACAGATTTCTCTCTAGACAGAGTTGTAACAAATTAAGGATGTACACAAAACACAATAAAGTGAATAAACTGTGGATTTTTCCTCATTAGGTCCGTGGCCATAGAACCAAAAGAATTACATACACATTCTGAGCAAAACCTACAAATGATCAGTTAAAAAAAACAGATGAAGAGCTTTCAAAAATATTAATATGGATATATAGGTGTACGAAAACCATTAAATGAAACAGATTTCATTTATGCTTGTAATTGCAGCCTGGTTTAGTCCAAGTTTAGAAAAACTTGATGTCGGAAAATCAAAATTTGCTAGCTGATGTAAATAGATGAACATTTAGTTTAGTACGAATAAGGGGTTGTTTGATTTGTTTTGTTTTAATTTTAGAATAATTTCAACAAAAAAAAACTAAGAAATATTTGATCTGTTATTTTTTTTATGTAAATGTATTTATATAGTTGGAGATCTCGCGTATGACCCAAATAGAATACATAACTTGGAGCAATTCTCTTGTACAAGTAAGTTTTATAGAATTTAGTTAAGATAAAACTTACTTTAAGTTGAAGTCATAATTTATCCTAAGGATTATAAATGATGGTAACATTCATCATTCAAGTTGAATTAAGTTTAAATCTACGTTAAAAGATAAACTAATAATTACAAAAAAAAATATTAAATTATTTTCAAATCCACAATCCAACACACATTACTTTCATGTTTATGCATTGGAAAGAGCAGAACTTTCCTTCAACGCCATTTTAACAGATTTTCAAACTCGCTCTTGTTTCCTTCTTTGAAAAATGAGAATGTGTGATTCAGGGAGGGCTGCAAACGGTATATCAGACACGTCCTGAAACAGAAAAAGAATGCCATCTTATTTCTTGTTTTTGAAATTTATTCACAAAGGTTTAAGAATGAGGAAACAACAAGAAATAGCACTATATTTACTTATTAATGAAAGCATGTCTCAACCAAACATTAAAACAAACTAAATACTTTTTATTTTCATTTTATGATTTTAATTTTTTGTACTTCTGTTTCTTAATTTTATGAAGGAAATTCTAAAAGTTTTCTTACTTTTTTTTTCATAAAATTTGAAAATAAGAAACAACACCAAACAACTTTGTATTTCCGTAACAAAAGAAAATGTACTGCTTCTATAATTACTAATTAAAATATATGAAATAAAAAAAACTAAAATAAAAATAAAATAAGGGTCGAAAGTTCTATCATTCAATTCATCGTATCACTATTGCCACCCCACGTGGGGAGCTTGAATCAAGGAAATTATTTGCATTATTAAGCTTCATCTTTGTGTCAATCCAGAAAATTGTCCATGCTTTATTAAAGCCTTTATTAAAACCTTTATTAAAGCCTTTTTATAAAGTTGAATAGTCTGTTATCCTCAGAAATAGCACAGGACTTGAAAAGGAAGTAAAGGTACTTTATGTTTAATGTGATTCATTTTTCGGTCCTTTAATAATAATCGTAAATGTCATTTACTCCTTCACAGAGATTAATCTTCCTCCTCCCTTTCTAAGTGGGACTCAACCATCTATTTTTCTAAGTAATGTGCACAATTATCGGATTTGCAGTAAGAAATACATATAAATTCAAACACGAGAAAATTTACATTTTAACATGATTGTATGAATTTGTTTTTATAAAAGTTAATTTTAGTCATATCACTAATTGATATAAATTTTTTAATTATATTTATTAGAATAAGTTATGATACCACAAAAAAAAATAGAATTAGTCTAACTCAATCACAAAATTAGTTAATATAAAAGTTACCTTCACTTATATACTATGTTAATCATATAACTAATCAATGTAAGATATGATACTTGTTATATATTAGTTATACCTAGGTTCAACCTAAATTGGAGGTGCACCCTTGTATGCAAATTATGGTCTTATACACATGGAATTGAAGTCACATCATAATTACGGGTGCATTCGTAAATTTTTTTAAAATTCAACCCAATTTGATCACAAACAAATTGGATTGAGTTTAGTCAATCGAATTAATATAATTAAATTTATTTTTTTTATAAAAATTTAAATATTTCATAATATATATATATATAAATTATTTGATATTTTATTACAAATGCAATATTATCAATCCGTAAAGTAAATAATGATACAAACTAAATTTCAAAATAAGTTTGTTGATATATTACATTATTATCAACTCAAATATTTAAAAATAAATGTTTGTATTATTACAATGATATCAATTTAAAAACACAAAACTTGTTAATAAACAAGAGTGACAAAAATTATTATCTTGAACAAATAAGTGACAGATTATTATCTTGAACAAATGATTATACTAACTTATTATTGTTATCATTATATATGACTAGATCAGATCAAGTCATAGGCTCAAAAAGTTCAAAATCCGTGTACAGTGTCAAGTTTTGGTTAAATCAGGATGAGTTTAACCCAAATATTAAAAAAATCATATCCAAACTCATTAGAACAACATGAGTCAATTCAAGATCATGAGTTACACAAACTCGCTTCTACCGTTAATCATTATATTCTAACAAGAGTATGACTTCTCACTCTAAGCCATAGGCCTGAATATAAAAATTTGGCCCATTCTCATGGACTACATATATCTCCCTAAACGTTTTATCGTAAGTACACGTATTTATTATAGCATATTTTTGAGTGGAGCTCATTGCTAACTTAAATATCAAAGTACTTTTACAAGTATTTTCGTCACTGTTCATGCCGGATAGTGGAATGTAGGTCAATTCGATCCCACTTCAAGGGCATCCATTCATTAGTTCGGACCACTAGGCAGCTAGAGTTCAGACCATTACTTGCCCCACTTCAGACCAGACACTACTTAATTAACTAATTATTATAAGTAAATTATTGGTTAAATAAGTCTTATTTGGTTAACTAATGAGAAATTGTGTGAGATGCTTACGGGCATCATAAAGTGAGTTACTCTAGATATAACAAAGCATGTATACCTACAAGTCTAGTACTTGTGAATTTCAGTTTGGGTTTAACTTCGACTCAAAAGATAGCTTAAGAGATGAAGGTTGTTGTGTCTCCTACCTGTACATTTTGAGAAAAGCAGGTAATACACTCCATAATATTGATTAAAATTTATTCTAAATCACAAATTTTAGTGATCTAATTCAATAACTCTCTTTCCTGATTTTATAATCTTTAATAAATTCTAATCAATAAAAAAGTGTGACACAATGGGCAACACATCTTTGCACTCAAAATATGTACTCATAGGCAAGAGCTAGTTCATCACATCAGGAAGCAAATGGAGCAACAAAATATCGCATATGAACCAACAATCATAAGTGACAATAGAACGGAGATCCCTTTGAACAGTAAACGAAAATTAACAGTGGAAGCAGAAAAATAAAGGATTCAGTAGCTCAAAGTGACAAACACATTCATGCACAGCCACACATACATAAAGTTGTTTCCAAGTACAAATATTAGCAAATAATAATAGCTCCCTGCTCAAATTTTAGCAATTACTTCAAAGTTTTTTTGCCATTCAAATGCCCAGTGATCCTCCCATAAGTATATATTATATAAGCCTACTGGACCTGCTAACCGACACGTGATAAAACCAGAGTTAAAGAGGACAAGGAAAGTTGTACTTTGTTAGAAAATGTTTGGAAGCAGATCCATCCAAAACATGATGTCCTACATAATTCCCGATGCAATGGAACACATAACTGCGTTAAGCTTTTCTAAGGGCCTCTATGTGAGCAGGAAACTCCTACAAACATAATCAGAGAGAGAATTAAAATAGCAAAGGAAACACGTGCAGATGAATTAACAAACCTGCGATCAAGAAATGAATAAACGTGGAGAAGAACAAACTTGAACAGGATTGCAGTCTTTGGGGAAACAATAGTTCAAAAGCCTCAATCTCTTGGAAAACTATGCACAAGATTCACTTCCGAGCTTTCTCACAATTCACAACCCTACTCGGACAAGTTTTCCCGAGAAAAATCCTACAGCTTGATCCTTCAAGCTCTCCCACAATCCCATTTTCTCGCCTCAGCACCTCACCCCTCAGCTAGGATTTGTTCTGTACCTCCGCTCCTCAATTACTCAGAATATGGTTCCAAAGACTGAATAAAAGTGGACTACTTTACAATTTCTACATCATTTAGAATGTGACCAGGTATCACAGGTTATTTCTACATCTTTACAAATAGAACACAAACATAACAGAGAAAAATAAGAGAGAAATACTAGAAACATACTCTAACACACTCTTTTTGATTGGCTGAGAATTATTGGAAAACACAAACATCAGTAGGTCTCCCACCTTATTTAATGACTTTCTCTCTTAATCTTGTGATTTTCAATAAATTTCCAACAATAAAGGAGAATGTATTAAAAAGAGTGTTTTAAAGAGTGTATTGCTAGCACTCCTCAAAATAAGATAATGCTAATAATAATAATCTAAAAACATAATAGTGATAAAAAGAACATAATCACTCTCATATTGTCTAACCTTATCCATTGAGTCAACTAATGTCTCCCAACACAATTCCACAGAATTTAAGTGCTAGAAATATTCCAATTGATGAAGAGATAAATAGTTCTGCTTGTATAGTGAAATAGGAGGTAAATTCTTAAAACATCGGAATACTAGACTCAATATCATTTCACATAAACAAGCATAAGATTTAGTATACAAACACTTGAAAATACTTTATATGTACTCGACTACTTGCATAATAATTTACCTTTCCAATGGAACATCATTGTAACTATCAGCATAAAGATCATCCAACAGAATATCAAAATTTTCCCAGATAAACTAGTTATTGGAGAAACTGAATCATTCTACTCGTTATCTTCATCACTGTCTTCGTAATCAAAATCTGATTCATCACTCCTTGGTTGCGTCAGTGAATTCATGTCAAATGATGGTTCCATTTCCATCTCTTCAATGTCAATAGTGTCATAGTCCATTCGTTGCTCAAATTTCTCATTAGAACAATTAAGCATCCATGACAGAGAACACTTCAACCCTTTCTTGACAACCATCTTATGCCTAGGTTTTATGGTTGACTCCAAACCATAAGTGAAGAATGCAGGGAAAGTAACCAAGTCCTCCAAAGGCCTTTTCATATCCATTTGGAAGTAATCAAAGCTAAGTCTCATGATGTCAATGTTTAAAGCAAGTAACTGAGGGCATCCAACAATCATCTTCCTCATTTGCAGCAAGGAAAACCCACAATCCTTAAGAAAATCAACATGCTTCCGCATCGGTCCACTGCTGAGGCTAACTACCTGTGGCATCTTCTCAACAACTCGGCCAAATTCCTCAGGATCCAATTCAAGTACAGAATTGAGTAAACTTCTCTGATTGAAAAGCTTTGTATTTAAGTCAGTTCCAATGATGTCAGGGTACTGAGCAATTATAGATGGAAGTGATGTTTGCCTAACATTAAACTCTTCAAGAGATTTAACATTTGGCTTCACCTTCTCATTCAGCCCAAATCCAAGAATATAAGGTCTTTGCTCGATCAGTCTAGCAATGGCTAACCTTGGAATTCCCAAGCTTTCCAGATATTCCACAAAAGGCTTGATGATCCTACCAACTCGCATCCCCAAAATCTCCGGGTATCTAGTTAAGACACCTCCGATTTCTCTTCTTCCTACACCAATTCCAATCAAATATGCAACCGATGTGCTCATGGTTCCCTCAAGTTTAAATCCTAACACTTCAGGGTACCTCTCAAGAACACGAGGAATATCATCAGGTTTGATATCCATCCCCTTGAGATAATTGACCACCGGCATAAGATCCACAACCACACTCGAATGGAGCACTTGTGGGTATCTCTGCAAGAACTGCGTAATCGTGGATTTCCTCACTCCCAATTTACCAAGGTAATCAAGCACAGGAATCATGTTCTTCTTGACACTGCAGCCAAGAACAAGTGGATAGTTATTGATGTCTTCAATTGTAAGCCCCAAAGTGTGAAGAAAATCTATGCGCTCCCTCATAACATCAACAGTCACAGGAAGTTCAAGACCATCAAGCTCATCAGGAACAATGCCAATTGCCCTCAAGAACTCATAAACTTTTTCCCTCATTGCCGCCTTCTCCTTCTTCATTTCAGATAAACTAGGACGGCTATATAGCGATGAGGAGCCACCCCGCCTCCGATTCATCCGACCGGCGTCCGTCGTGGACGCCGGCGAATCCATGGAACCAGAAGTAAATGTCCTATCAGCAACAGAATATTGGAGCTTCGTAATCAACCCCATCCTCCTAAGAGCTAGGGTAGCACTCAACTTACAATGACCAAATGTTAGAATAGGCATTTTCGTTTGGCCAATCAAAAAACTAGGTTTTGTTATGCTACCAGAAAAGCTCATTACTTTCATATTTTCAAGGTCCAGGTACCATTGAATCTGCAGAAACAAAACGGTCTCACCCACTTAGTTGAGCCATAGTTGAACACAATTGAAACGGGGGAAAATTACAAACTTTGACAAATGAGAAAAGTAAACACCAAAAATGAAAAGAACCCAGAAGTTCAATGCTTAGGATAGAATCTTTGAAGCCATTGAAAAATTCTGGGGCGTATAACACCCCCAAAAAAAAATGGAGAAAAAAGCATTACCCTTTAATGGTTAACAAGGTAAATTACAAGCAATAATAATTTGAGGAGAGGGTGGAAGAGATTGAGAGATAGAGATAGACTTACCTTACAGTGAAGGGAGAGTGACCAAACTGTGTTGAAGTCTCACTTCGAACTAAGCGAGCAAGAAAGGATAACAAAAAGTGCAAAGGGTTTTGGGGTTGAGGACCTATGCGGCTATTAAGCCTATTTCATTTGAAAAATATATCATTTTTTTTAACTTTTTTTAATTTTAAAACAAATTATACTAACATTATCGAAGTTTCCTAAAAAATATATATATATATATATATATATATATATATATTTAAAGGTTATGATATATTTAAAAAAAACTAGTATCTTATATGAAAATTAAAAAATTTTAATAGAAAATTGAAAAGTTTATAGTACTATTATCGTTCAAATATTTTGTTTAATGCATGCCTCAATTAATCTTTTACACATAAT